GAAGAAATAAAAACAAATAAAAAACGCAAGAAATAGATTTTTATAGAAGAAGATAAAAACAAGATAGGCTTTAGAAGAATAATCAATAAATATAGCAAAGAGAAAAAAATATATGATATAAAATACTGGATAAAGGCAGAAGCTAATAGATCTGACAAATATGAAATACAATGATGCAAAAGATGTAGCAGAAGCAAAGACAAAGTGCAAAAAGGCAAATGCATGTTTACAAAAAGATTCTAAAGCAACAGAAGAGCATTAAGAAAAGATTGGATTAAGAAAGTCACAAATGATAATAAAATATATGAGATAGAACTTAAGCTAGAGATGCTAAGCTAGAAGGAACAAGAAAAGAAGAGACAAAAGACTATCAAGGCCAAAAGATAAAAAACAAGATAATTGTAAGAATATTAATAGAAAAAATAATTAAAGATCAAGTAAAAGAAAGAGAAGTACAAGAGAAACTACTAGTAGCCACACATGAATTACAAAATATCAAGAAAATAGACTTTTATACAGACAGATCACTATACAAAAAAAAAGAAATACTACAAAAAGTCAAAATAGAAGCAGAGTGGATAGCAATAATAAAGCATAGAGAGATAGAAGAAGAAGAGAAAACAAGATTCAGCTATGCCTTCAAGAACTGGCTTTCATCAACTTAAGCAGAACTAGGAGCAATATAGACAGCATTTCTGGTTGCTTCTAAAGAAACAGAAGTTATAATATATATAGATAATTTGGTGGCTATACAATCACTGAAGAGAAAAAAGTCTAGAAAAAAGAGAGAAAAGCATTGAAGATCAAGAATGCAAGCATTTTATAGCAAATCAAGAAATTATAAAAAGCCAAAGCTCTAAAAGTAAAGCTGAAGAAGGTAAAAAAGTATAGTAAAAATACTTATAATGATATTGCAGACAAACTGGCTGAAGAAGAAACAAGAAATCAGAAGGTAGCAATAGCAAAGTGGCTTTAGATCTAACATTTACAAATATTAGCAAAATGAAGAGATATAACTATAAATAGCCCAATGAGAGAAGTAGTAAATAAAATTATAATAGTAGCATTAGATGCAGAATAGACAAACTTAGATAGAAATAATAAATGGTTAAATAGAAGCGAAGAGGAGAAAATTGATTGGAGAAAAACTTAGAAATGGATAGACAGAAATAAAGGTAAAAACTGTGTAAGTGAAAAAAAAACAAGAATTAAATATTTCAGATCAAATATTTAGATAACCTACTACTAACCTTGATAGAGTTAAGCAAAAGAAGACTGAATATATATATATCAAATATATATATAATATGCAGAAACAAAGAAGAAGATCTAGATCACCTTGTCGATTATGAAAATTATCAAGGCATATAAAGCATCATTGAAGATGAAGTAAGCAAAGAAGGTCTCCAAGTATTATGGTAAGAAAAATAAGAAGGAAGACTTTTAAACAAAGAAGATGTCAAGGATCTTTTTTTCAAAGAATCTAGAATGAAAGAATAGAAACAAGAAGATATTTGATCAAAGGTTACATATTCAAAAGAAAGAAAGAAAAAGTCAGAAAAGAAATAGGATATGATAACATACTGCAAAAATTGCTTAATACAATTAAGACAAGATTTAATGAAAGGTTTCAAGAATATATATAGAACTTCAGATGTGAATTAGTCAATAATTAGAAAAAAAATACAAAATCACAAATGAAGTTAAAAAGAAAAAACGATACAAAAAAAGAAAAAACCTGTACAAAATACTAAAAACAAAGTGAACAGAATATCAGAAAAAAAAGAGAATACTAGCCAAGGAAGAAAAAAAAAACAAATCTTTAAGTGGATATAAGAAAATAATCAAAATCTTTTTTAATATCATATTAAGCCAGACTGGTCTTTCTGAATCAATATTAAAAAGAAAAAAGGTGGTACTGACAAGGTTGACAGCTCCCAGCTTATGATTAGAAGGAACAAATCCTCAAAAAGTTGATAATTCAATGTGAAGCAAATTAGCTGCTTAAGTAGGTTACATCTGAGTATTTAATACTAAGTAAGTCTTTATTAGGTTTCTCAAAATCAAATCAAATCAAATATTAGTTTATTTGAATTTGATTTGATTTAAAAATCTGGATTTGAATTAAAAAATCTGGATTTAAATTTGATTTGATTATTTGATTTTAAATTTCAAATCAAATTAAAATTTTAGCTATTTATAAATATTTTTGATTTTCACAAAATTTTATTAAGCTAATCGATTCTGTGTATTAATTAAAAATGTTCTCCTAATTAAAATAGCCCTAGTTACATAAAACTAAATTAGCGATTGTTTAATAAAATTTGAGAAATAACCTCTATAACTATAACTCTTTAAATTTTAGCTATTTATAAAAATCATCAATTTTTTTAAAATTTTATTAAGCTAATCGATTTGTGTATTAAATAAAAAATATTTTTCTAATCAAAATATCCCTAGTTTTATAAAACCAAATTAGTAATTATCTTAATAAAACTTTGAGAAAATAGCCTCAAAAACTATAACTCTTTAAATTTGGCTATTTATAAATATCTTTGATTTTTACAAAATTTTATTAAGCTAATTAATTTTGTTTATTAAATAAAAAATGTTTATTTAATCAAAATAGTCCTAGTTTTATAAAACTAAATCAGCAATTATCTTAATAAAATTTTAAGAAAATAGCTTCTAGAAGTATAACTTTTTAAATTTTAGCTATTTATAAATATTTTCAATTTTTTAAAAATTTTATTAAGCTAATTGATTTTGTGTATTAAATAAAAATATTTTTCTAACCAAATAGACCTAATTTTATAAAACCAAATTAGTGTGATCGTCTTAATAAAATTTTGAGAAATAGCTTTTGAAACTATAATACTCCAAATTTTAGCTATTTATAAATATTTTCAAATCAAATCAAATATTTGATTTTTCAATTTGAATTTGATTTGATTTAAAAATCTAAATTTGAATTTGATTTGAAATCAAATATTTGAATCAAATCAAATCAAATCAAATGTAGAACCCTAGTCTTTATTAGTACAGAATTTAGTATAAAATTGCATATTTGTAACAAATATAAAATTTTGATACTTCTGATTAAAATAATAAAGGCAGGATTGCTAAAAAAAAAAAAGAAAAATCTAAAGTATATATATATACAAAATTTTTTAAAAAAGATTAAAATCAATTTTATATAATACACCTATTCAATAATTTTATGAGAATATCAAAAAAAAACTATATAATCTTAAAAAATTTTAAGAAATTTAAAAGTTTTGTATTTTAAGATCAAAAATAATAATAATAATTAACTATTAAAAAAAATAGATAATAATTGCAAACTCATATATTTTAGAAAACTAACAAATAGATTCTTTTCTAGATTTACAAATAATAAAAATAGTTGAAAAAACATACAAAAGATTTATGACTATATATTCAAAAGTAAAAACTCAGTTTATTATATACTGTATTTATTATCTAAAGATACTTGCAAAATAAAAAATAATAATGATTAGAGATTAGAATATTATACTAACAAACAAATTCTAAAAGAAATAAGTTAAACAATTCAAGTCTCAAAAGAAAAAAAAAGAAAACTATAAAATTTGATAAAGTTATAGCTTGAATATTTTGAAAAAAATCAAGAATTTAAAAAATAAACTTTATAAAAGAACTATAAATTATCTCAAAATTATAATGTAGATATAATTTCAGAATTTGGTATGGAAAACATAATAAAAAGGAAAAAAAGATCCAATTCAAGGTCATGAGAAGTATATTAACATGGTCACATTATAGGTTTAGATAAGGGCTAAAATTCAAAGTTGAAAAAACTGGTTTTAAAGTAGTAATCCAAGATGAGGCTTACACTTCAAAAACATGCTCGTGATGTGGTAATATACAAGATATCGGCGGTAAAAAGATTTATAAATGTAAAAAATGTAGTTTAATTATAGATAGATATATAAACGGAGCGCGAGGGATCTTCCTTCGCGCGTTGCTTGATGGAGTCATATGCATGCATAGGAATTGATATCTTTACTTAGCAATGACTAGTATTGTTTATCCATGATGTGTTACAATCCATCCGAGAATTAATAAATTAAGTCTAAATACGGTTCAATTGATTTAATTTTTATCGCTATGCATGCATTAAAATTTGCTTTGCACAAAGGCTTGACTAATCCAGCAGTATTATGCGAAGTAACGCACTGTTAAATGGAGTAAAAGAGTTAGAATAAAATAGATAACTATATAATCCAGTACGTAGTACGTACATATTGGATATCGTGAAATAAAACATTTAGTGGCGTAGCATTATTTTAAATACCGATAAAGTATCACGTACGTATGTGCGGATGTAACCATGCTTGTTATATAAACCAAAATTAGTATATCTGATAAACATGTGTTCTATTTTGGGATTTGAAAAAATGTCTTATCTCTTTATCAGTTTTTCAGTTTATTGATATCAGATAACGCACACACTCCTGATAAACAAAACCAATAAAAATTTCAAGTAACACATTTCAGGTCTATGATTGGATAGATAAAAAGTAAACGGTGGGTAAAACAATAAGCATTTGTCTTTTTTGTCTGATTAAAAGATAAGATATATAAATAGTTGCCTTCTTCGTATTTTATTATTACTGTATAATATTTACTTTTGTGATTATTGAATAAATATAGTATAAAAAGACTCCACACGCGATAACAATTTCTTCTGATTAATTCACAATATACAAAAATTAATGCAATTCTCTAAATTACTTCCAAAAAATTTTTGTCCGTCATTTGGGCCGAGAGAAATAGCTTTAAAACGTCAACACTATACATCAAGTCCGTTTCTCACCGCGTCAGCCTTTACTTCTCGTATTGATGCGTTGATAACACGTTCAACCAAATCTCCTCTATTTTCCTTTTCATATACCGTTCATCGTTCTTTACACTCATCGAAGAAAACGTTAAAACCCCAGTCGTCTAATCATACTAAGTACCAAGAAGTTTCTTCAATTAAACACGTACCATCTTCACATTCTACCTTAAGCTTTTTTGATAACCCCTTTTCGCCGTCACGAACTTCTGATACCCTTTTTTCGAAACCATGGGCATTAATACACGGTGCTTCTGGTATAGCCAAGCATACCAACAAATTTGTATCCACCGCTAATGACAAACAATATTTTAGTGTTTGTTGCGGAGAAGATAGTTTCTTCAGGCGACATGATTCCTTAGGCGTTGCAGATGGTGTTGGTAGTTGGCGCAATGTCGATTCCGATAAATTTTTAGCAAATTCAGCCTTGTATTCCCGAAAGTTGATGCATTATGCGTATACAGAGCTTGAAAAACATGATAATATTAAGGATGTTAATCCAACGAAGATTATGCAAGCAAGCTATGAACAGAGTATACGTGATTGTACATTAGAGGTAAATTTCTTTATAATAGTTTTCCACAAAATGGGCTACTCAAACAATCCTCCGTGGATCCATTTTACGTGTCGCGGTTGATGCTGAAATTTCAACTATGCACTATGATAATGTAATAAGCGAATTAAATATTTGTAATTTATTATGAGAAACTATTTTTTATGCCCTATAATTTTAAACCTTCGAGCAAAGATATCTCGGCAAAAAACAACCACAATTAAATTTTTGGTTGTTTTAACTAGAATTAATGAATTTAATTAGATTGTCGTTAAGATATCTTTAAAGTTTAAAAATTAGGGCATAAAAATAATTCCCCCTTATCCGACAAGTACCCTAGCCATGGCGAAAAATGTTCGGGTCATGTGACGATCTGCGGGTAATTATCCAATAACGACTCCCAATTTCGTGTAACGTAACACGATCAGGAAAATTTAAAACAAACGATCTTGCTTATTTCTCGAAAATTTTCATAAGAAACCGCCTTCTGCGCTCTAACAAAAAAACTTTAAAAAATTTTTCACCTATCACATGACCCGAACTTCTTCGCGTTGACGTAAACACTGAACGATTTTCGTGTAACTTGTTTGGTCTCTTTCTAATACAAATATACAAATTTATCGTTCAGTGTTGATTTCTTCACAGCGAAGGTTGCGCTATGACGTGACTTCGTAGAGGTCGGAGCTGGTTGTAAATTCAAAAGCCGATTTGGGTTTATATGTAACCATATTTTTTGTTTCTTGGATAATCGGCAAGAATTCTGAAAGACTAAATTTAATTCGCCAAGGCATTCTTTCACGATATACAAAAATCACCCGAAATTTAGTTTTACAACCGAATTATAATGTTAACCTGATTTATGATTAAAACTGGATTAACCTGAATTTAAATTATAACATGACCAATAACAAGTACTTATTATATTATTTATTCATTTTTGGTATTAGGGAGTCGTTGGTTCTTCGACAGCACTAATAGCAGTTTTACGAGATGATGAACTTCGGATAACAAACATTGGTGATTGTGGAATATGTATTATTCGTCATAATAGTGTAATATTCAGAAATGAAGAACAGCAGCACAGCTTTAATTATCCTTTTCAGTTAGGGATTTATTCTTGTGATAAACCCAAAGATTCTCAAGAATTTACGGTTAAAGTTCAAAAGAGAGATGTGGTAGTTATAGGGTCTGATGGCATCTTTGATAATTTATATGAAGACGATATACTTGAAGAAATTACAAAATTTACTCATTCCCAAGGTGATGATCCTCAAGTAATTAGTGATGCACTTGCATGGCGCGCTAAAGCTGCTAGTGAAGATGTTAATAATGTAAGCCCTTTTCAAAGTCGTGCTATGCAAGAAGGATTATACTATCAAGGCGGAAAAAAAGATGATATAAGTGTTCTGGTTGCTGTTGTAGTGTGATAAACCAAAGTTTGTAGAATTTTAAAAAAAAACATTTAGATTTTAATCAATATATGGTTATAGATAGTTTTCAACATTTTATTATGCTCATTATGTAAATATTCACATCAATATTTTTATTTTTCTTTAGTTATTTTTTCTATTGTTATAACAAAGGTTTTGCAGGACAAACACACTAAATGAAATATTTAAATTATAACCACATATTTAAGCAAGAAATTAAGAATTTTAACTACATTTATATCACATCCTTTTAAGGAAATCAATTTACTTTCTGATATCCTTTTGCTTATTTTTTAATACACTGGTTTTTAAATTATTACCCTTGTATTTTGTTATTGAATGTACTGTACTGTACATAAATATTGGCGTACTATGTGTATCTGTACAGCACACCTTTTCATTATACAAAATGTAAATGAATACTGTACTCTATTGAATAAAAATTATAACCGACAGTACAAAAAATGATACGTTAAGTCTTTTAATATCGTTACCGAAAGCAATTTAAAATTACCGCGAAGGGAAACCCTGTTATCGAGGAGTTAAGTTTTTTGCTCACCGGACTCACTAATTTGTTAGGATTGTGACCGGTAAATTATATAATTTTAAATAACAGTATAACGATAAATTAATTAAAAAAAAATTCCATTTTAAAAGTGTAATTAATTTATACACGCCTTACATTCGAATTTGCGATGTTAATTAAAAACAATAATTATTATATATCGATGTAACTATTTGCAGAGTGCATATTAATTAAAATTTCAATTATATAAAACTTTTTTAAAGTTTCTCTCACAACATACTTCTTTTGTTTAATTTATTATTTTATCTTCTTGACTTACAAGCTTTTCATGCTCAATCCTAAAAGCTTTTCTTGTTCTTCAATATTAATAAATCCACTTGCAATTAGAGTTTTTAGATTTTTGATAATGAAATTTAATCATTTACAAAAAAAAATAATATACTATATAACTTACTGGTTTTCTTAATGAGTTCAGTAGTTTTTTGTAAAGGTGATTAATCTCAATAAGTTTCCGTTACATTCGTTTTTTTTTAATTTGTGTAATAATGAAAGTAGCGAATTTAAAAGTCATAACATTTACCAGAAATTTGATTTCAAAAATTTTTCAATAAAATGAATTGTAAAACTTGAATTATATTGTACAAATAATATTAAATCGTCGGATATACAAAAAAAAACTGACTTTCCAAACTCAACTAATATAGATTTTAAACTTTTATGTTTGTTATGTCCAGGGTACATTATAAGGAAGGTTGTTATTATAAGCTTCGACTGTAATTGGGTTTATATGCAAATCTAGATTTTTGAAACAAATTAGCACAGATAAATAATTCGAACGAGACTATAAAATATTATAGAGTTGTATAAGTTAGATAACGAAATAAACCAGTCTGTCAAAATACAGCTTACTTCTTTACAGTAAATTTTTGATATAATGAAGAGTTTTGAACTGCAGAATTATTAAATTTCAATTGTATATAGTAAAATATGTTTTAGTATTCTTTTTGATTAAGTTATAGTGTGGATTTTTTTCTAACCTGAGAACTTCATTATAATGAGTAAGTTGCAATCATGTTTTCTTATATTTCTATATATGAGACCACCTTTATTTTTTGTTGAAATACTGTATAAATAGCAAAAAAAAAAAAAAAAACTGAATACAGGCAACTTTCTATAATGAACTAACAGTTCTTATAGTAAAAATTTTTAAAGGTTTGTAGAAGTAATTTACTATGTTCCTATACCGACTCTATAATAAAATTGTTAATAAAAAAAGTTTATTATAGAGTGAGCTCTTTATAAAAAAAGTTCGACATAAAGAAAGTCGATTGTATAAATGTATCAAAATAAAATGAGATCAGGTCAAATTATCCGTAACTGTGTCTCGATTGGTGGTTAATGATTTGGTATTTACGGTATATACATAGTTCGTACTGTATTGATCTTTACTTCACATTTTATACAATCCAGTACGAAATTATCTTTATATATATGTATCTTCGTACTGTAAACCAATGATAAAAATATTGGGAATTACTTTTGAAGGATTTGAACTAGTGTTCCGAGTTGGTAAAAATTTTGCCAATCGATTAATTGCTAACTATAGTTGCAACTAATCGATTTTTCATATCACATGATCTCATTAGGTGATTAGCCAATCAAACCAAAGATTTCAACACGAAACAGCCCGATTAGACGGAATATATTGGAACTGTACCAATTTGATGATTAATCGATTAGTTGTTTTAAAATTTTTTAAATCGATTAGTTGGAAAGTTGTCAACTAGTTGATTTTTCAACTAGCAATTTGGATCACTAATTTGAACAGATGACTGGATTACCAGAGTATCGAAATGGTTTTTCAATTTAAATTTTTTTTTTTTTATTTTGAATTGGCTGTATACAGGATAAGATTAGTTACAGATTGTATCAAGATGATATTAATTTAAACTATCTATTATATCTTGTATAACCACCTAAGTGTAGCAAATCATCTCTTAATTTTCTATTTAAAAACTAATTTAAGTTAAACTACCATTAGTTATAGGAGGGGAAAGAAAAGGCCTAGCCAATTTAAATTAATCTATTTTATAATTAAAAGGATTTGTTTTAAATTTTTGCATCATTACATTACATTGCAGGTGGTTTATTTGTAGATATTAGTGTACTAACTAGTGATCTGAATCGTTTAATTGAAAATTAACTATATAGTTGACAACTAATCGATTTAGAAAAATTTAAATCAACTAATCAATTTAATTATCAACTAGTATTCTGTCTAATCGGGCTAATCTGTGTTGATTTTTTTAGTTTGATTGGCTAATTGACGAATTTAGTCACATAAAAGTTGGCAACTAATCGATTGGCAAAATTTTTACCAATTAGGAACACTAATTCTAACATCTTCCTATCTTATTTATATTATTATACGATTAACAACTTTGTATTTGGCTTAGGTTTAATTTTTAATTTTAAAATATTTGTATCAGTATAGTTTGTACATTGTCAGTGCAAGTGACAGGTTATATACTAGTTTATATATATTATTAAAGATATGTGTCAGTCTGCTTGTACTACAGTTGGCAAGAATATTTTAAAAGATCAGAAAGGTGGTTCAGCGATCTAAGCAAAAAGTAAGTGAAAATTGTAAGACTTTGTCTAAACTAGACTTGTTTTCTTTAATAATCATATATAGCAACCACATAAAATGTCTGCGGACACATGATTTTAAACCAATCATGACTCAGGATCAGGTGTAATGTGAAAACAAAATAAACTACTGGCTTTTTTTAAAAAATATCTATAAATTACTTCCTGCATCTTAGCAAAAAAAAATTCTTTGTAAAATTTTGCTATATGTCTCACCTTTTTCTACTATCATCATAGCGCTCACCCTTATCCTAACATCAAAAGATAATTTTTTAATCAAAAAACACATTGACGACTTGCATCACAAGACTGCGAATTTTTATATAGTTGCTATATATAATGTTGCAATATATAATGTTTATATTACAAATAAAAAAAAGTACTATATATTTTTGATTGTATTGATTTAGATTATGAATATAGTATAAAGAGAAGTTTGAAGAAACCCAGTGATATATTCGTGTTCATTACATTGTGTAATTAATTATTCGGCCTAACTTAAGTGGGTCTCTTAAAGCGAGGCAAATTATGTAATAATTAGCCAATCAGATCATCAAAATTTGATAAATCTGGATCAGTCCAACGAAGCAAAACAAGCAAAAAATGAGAAAAAAGTGAAAAACACCAAAAATGGTAGTCTAAACCTATCTTGGTGCATTAATAAAAAATGACAAGAAGGTCATTTTGCTAATAAAAACACCTTTTACCTCAACCCAAAGTGACCCTAACTCTAATATTAATGAAAAATGGCATAACACGTGATCTGCTTCACTTTAGGACTCCCCCTTAAGGTTAGTGTTAGGAGCAGGTGTAATTTAATATGTAATAGATATTTAATGAATTGCCTTGGATATCATGCATCATCACAGGCAACATTTATTATGTGTTATTGCAGCACAGCTGCGATGATGCATGATAAATGGTTGCTTGTTGATGATGCATGATATTATGGTAATTCATTAAATATCTGTTTTATCCCCTGGATTCTAATGTCTGTGATTTTTCCACTGATATTTTCTCTTTACAACTTTTTTCTTAAAAATGCTAAACCAACAGCAAAAAAAACAACCTTTAATAATACACCAGTTCCTATTTTTACTAATGCACATTTATATCTCTGCTGAAGAAAACACAACCTTAAATACTAATACCAAGATGATGCCAAGGTCTGAAATAGAACAAAAACTGGATTTTTACAGAAAAAAAGCTGTAGTTTACAATACAGAAAAATCTATACAAAATTGGATGAGAAAATTTGAAGAATTTCGCACCAAGTATAATTATGTCACATCACTTGAATCGATCAAAGATCCTTGTCTTATTGAGCAACAAATATGCGAATATGTTGTACAAATAACAAAGAAAGATGGTGGTGAATACAAGGCCACAACAATTAAACAGGCAATTGATGGAATCAATAGATATCTTAGTAAAAATAGAACAATTCGTGGACTTAATTTATATAACAAATATCAATTTCTGAATTTGCATGAGATTTTAAATGGTAAAATGAAAAATTTACAAGAAAAAGGTTTGCGTAAAAAAGAAGGATCAATGGCATTAACTGTTCTACAAGTAAGAGAGATTTTAGATGATGAATTCTTAAATTCTAAAACACCTCAAGGCTTACTGTATAGAGTTTTCTTTCGTAATGCAACAATTTTTGCATGTCGAGGTGGAGAACATTATACACTTCAAATTAATTAGTTTCAAATTCAATTAGATAACAGTATTTTATTTTATCAATACTGTAGTAAGAATAATCAATGAGGAATTCAGGAAGATGATGCACAACAAATTCACCTACCATCTGATCCACCTGGTACTTTTGGTCCTGTCAATGATCTTGTGAATTATATTTCCAAACATCCTTCTGATGCTCCTAGCAATTTTTATTTACATCCAAATCTGAATTGGCGAGAGACTGGTATATGGTATACTAAAACTTATTGTGGCATGAATAGGGTCAGAAATTTTATGAAAGATATCAAGCAAAATATAAAGGTAAACCTTCCAGAAGGAATTTTAACAAACCATTCCAGAAGAAAAACAGCTGCTCAAATTCTTCAAGATGCTGATATATCAGAAGATGCCATTATGAATGTCACAGGTAATAAAAGTGTACAGGAAGTACATGCATATAAGCATATTAATAAACATCAACAAATTAATATGATGAAAACTTTGGTTAGTACAATTGAACCATTGAGAAATTCAAACAAAATAAATCAAGTTTCATCTGCTGAATTTAATGGATCTCATGGTAACATTAATGTTAATACCAATACTATCTCTACGCAAGATATAAATATGATACAGGGAGAATTTTAGAATCAGCGTTCTATTTTTAATAATTGTAATTTTATGAATGTTACATTTCATTTTTAGTATGGTACTGGTAGTGATCCTTTTTTTCATATACAGTTTATTTGAAATAATTATGTGAGAAATTTCGTTGGGCAGAATTATTTATCGGTAAAATTATAGAAATTAACAATTCTTAATAATACAGTATCGAAATATATGAAGGATCAAGGCTAATTACTGATAGTAATAATGTAGTATTTTATGTTGTTAAAAAAAACAATAAATAAAAGTTGCTTTTACATAATTAAAATACCGATTGCATATAAAACAATTTTAAAGCTAAACATTTAATTAAAAATTTATGGGAACTGCATAATATGATGAGGGGCCGTTGAATAATTTTTGATATTTTCACGGATAATCAGTTGCATGAAAATATCAGTGTGTAGTATCACGGACGACCATTAGGAGACATGGGATAAAATGTGATAATCACTGGGTTCCTTGATCTTCAAGTCTCCCATTTATAAATATAATGCTTATAAACGCAAAAAGTTGTAATAGTGAGTGTTTAGGATTGTTTGGGTATGCGTAATGTTTTGCGAAACTGAATTAGAATATTTTTTGTAAAATAATATACTTATCAATAAATAACAGATATATAATTTACTTCGTGAAATTTAAATTAAAAATTATTATTAAACTGAATTAATGTATGTTTTTAAAAAGTATTAAAAAAGTTTGAGTAACTTTATCCGGTATAGCCGGTAAGCTATCCGAGGTATGATCAACGGTATAGTTTCAATAAATGTAATTTTATTTTGGTAAAATTTATAGCGATAATCATATTAATATGGGTCCGATTTACATTCGAATCCCGATACCTAGAATCCCAGCGTTCAAAATCCGAGATTTTATTTTCTGGATTTTGGGCATCGGGGGTAAAACCAACATTACCATTAGAAAATCCGCAATTAGTGATGATCCTGACTATATGATTTTAATAGGCCGTTGCACACCCTAATATTTCACCAATTGGATAAAAACATCTCGTACCATGAATTCGACCGAATCTATACTACGATGATTTATCATCAAACACATCAACCTGTTTTTGATTACTAGCAGACTATAAAAAGCGGAATTTAAATTTAAGATAAATAAATATTTCTATATTGTGATTATTACGAAAAATTCATGGATATGTTAAAGAGAATTAGAAATTTAATAAAAAGAAAAACATATGTGGAAAAACTCACTCAGAAAATGAGTAAATATTATAACTAATATTCCGTATGTAAAGTATATGAAAGAACTAGCTAAATGGCTTCTATGCCTTTTTAGGACCCTTGGATCTTCCAACTTTCTTTCAAAATGAAAATACTGCACATTTGATTCTCAATGCAGCGAAAAATATGAATGTTGATGATCCCGCCATCTTTATTCAATGGAACAATAACGGGTTCAATGACACCCCAATGGCAAATTGTCGTAATGGGGTGGCTGGCCAGACAAAAGCTGCTATTATCAATTATATTGTAGGAAGTGGTGGTGTAGATTTCAACTGTTTGAATGAATTGGTTTTATTTAGAAGTCCTTTGGCAATTAGTCGCTGTCAACATGGTTTCCCTTTATGGTATGAGTATTTCATATTTATTTTTGGATTTTTTTAACCACATTCTAATGAATTCTTACTAAAGGACTCACCATCAGGCGGGGGTCGCAGATGTTTGTCTTTCTATATGTAGAATAAATAAATTATCAGCTAATGGGCAAATTGACTACGAAGTTTTCGATTATCCCCTCGTGCAGAAGTAAATTACCGTACAGCACTGACTAAAGTACCCGGGATCTTTTACAAACATACGGTTATGATGGGTATTTTACAAAAATATAGCAATCGTAATTAACAAATATCAATAATGAATATTTAATTTATTTGTTTTTAAGCTATCAAACGGGTCAGTCTGTACCGTTATGAGGCTTCGGGCACAATTTCTTAAATTGAGAAATCGATGTTTAATCAAGTTGATATAATTTTTGATGCTAAATCTAAAATTAAAAACTGTATGTAATTAGTTAACGCTAAATATATACGTACGTACTTGTATGTTTATTATATTCTAATTTCTTCGAAACAAAGGGTCAAGATTTTGAACTTGGTGTACATGTTATGCAAAATATTATTATTTCAGGATGCACAAGGGCATTATTTTGAACTCAAATATAATCTTTTTAAAGGACATAATTTCCGAAAGAGCGTTATTTCGCGACTATATGGTAGTGAATAAAGTCGAACAATCCTATTATCCTAATAATAAAAGACATGTCTAATTATACTTGCATCAGGATATCCAAAAAAATTAAATCAAAAATCAGTCTTAGGGTCTTATACCGTAGAGCACTGCATTCGATACCCCCAGGGTTTAGACCCGTGTTTATTTCAATATCATCACGCAAAAATTTTGATCATACTCGGGTATAAATTAAGCTTACAAAACTAGTAGCGCCCAATAAAAATGAACCTCTGCCTTAAGATCAATTCAAAATACCTCCCTCCGGGTACAAATCAAGTTAATTAGGGTGTTTTTGTACTGTTACACCCGGAACTACCTCTTATAAGTCCGATATAACGTTTTACTATAGCGACGGGTAGGTTAAGTAATTTAATAGCGAATGCCGATTTATGCTAAGTAAACTATAGGTTTCGCTGTTAAGAGGATGTGTGATTTGCAATTATGAAAGAGGCAAACGGCTAAATGTATGTGAAGATACAGATAGTCGTATTAACAAGTTTACAGTTTATTCAACAA